TTGGTTGGACCCTTTCGGATCTCGTGTGAGGCCGCGGGCACGGCCTCTTTGGCGGGACTGCCGGACAGAGGACGCTCCCGAAACCCTGACCTGCCCCAGCCCCAGGCCCCCGCAGGAGGACCAGAGGGGGGAGGAAGGGCTCAACGGGGGCCCCGAAGACGGACAGCCACGCGGCGACCCTGGAGAGATCGCCTCCACGCGAGCCCTCAGGTCGGCCGCCGAAGAACGCCGATCCTGGTCGGCTCCTGGCCCAGGAAGCAGCCCCGGCCCACCCCACCTGACCGCAAGGGACACACGAGCCAAATCCGCCCCGGGGTCCTGGCGCGCATCGGCGGCCTCCCAGGGCCACGTGGGCGATCGCAGCCAGGAGCGCGGGCAGGGTGGCACGACATGGGTGCGAGCCCGTGCGAGGAACCAACATCAGGGCCGGCACGGGTGCCAGCCTGTGCGAGGAACCAAAAACAGAGCCCTCCCGACGGTGGCCAGGGAGAGGGATCCCAGCCCAGCCTCGCCCGATACGACCCAGCCCAACCAACCCACTCTGCACTTGGGGCCCTCTTGGGCCGCCTCTTGGGCCGGTTCGGGCTCCTCTGGGGCCGTCTTCGGGCCCTCCTGGACCGTTTTCGGGCCCCTTTTGGGGCCTCTCGGGCCGTCTTGGGATGATCTTTGCCGTTCTTGGCCGGAAAAAGCGAGAACCAGACAAACCTTCCAAAACAAATGAAAAATCAATGATCTTTGCCTGTCGGAGCCCTCTTGGGAAGCCTTTTGGAGCCCTCTTGGGCCGTCTCGGACCCCTCTTGGACGGTCTGGAGACCATCTGAGGCCATCTTGGAACGCTCTTGGACGGTCTTGGGGTCTCTTAGAGCGCTCTTGCGCCCTCTTGGAGCCCTCTTGGGCTCCTCTTGGGCCCCTCTTGGGTCGTCTTGGGCGCTGCTTGGGCCGTCTTTTTTTTTCTTCGCACTCACGCGAGGCAGCCTACATCGGAGTGTCGTAGCGGTGAAACAGGTGAGCAGCGCAGTCCCCGCATACGGGCGCGCTTCTCGGGCGAACGACGCGAATCCGCCGAGCCTGTCGGTGTGTGACAGGGCTGTCCCGTCGCCGTCTTGCCGCGAATTACCGGGACCCTGGCCGCCCTACAGGCAATCACAGAGAGATCTTGGTGCTGGTGCCACTTCGCACGGCAGCCGAGCTGTTCTCCGCGGCATGCTCGTTCACGGAGTGGGCGCTCCTTGTCTTCCTGAAATATTCTTCCTTGGACTTCCGCTGCATGCGACGCCGCTGTGACCGGCTGATCCCCTGACGCTTCGAGCACATGTCCGAATCATCCGAGCTGTCGTTCCCATCCTTCTCCGCGTTCCTGTCAGACTGTTGCTTGGGGTCCTCCTCCTTTGCCAGGCGGCCTCCCCCGAAGGCTCCCGCCCGAAGGCTTCCTTCGCTGTTTGACAGATCCGACGCGGAGGTCGTTGTGGCGTCAGAGGTGGGGTCCGACTTGGGGCGCTCGACCACGGTGACGTAGTCGATCCAGGGCGACGGGCAATCCAGAAAGGTGTTCTTGGAAGTCAAGCAGATTGGCCCATTGGCCGCCAGCGGCGCCATGGTCCTATGAAGGCTCATTGTCCGTGGAGCCCAGAAGGCTCGCGGCTCGAACTGCAACGGCTTGAACCAAAATGGCTACGGAAGGGCGCTTCTTGGGCCGTCTTGGGTGCCTCTCAAATGCGTCCGTCACCCGATTTCCCCTGTTAAGTCCCTGTTAAGGGCTCCGTTAGCAGGGAGAAGAGTGCCCGAGCGTGCAACCCTGTTAAGCATTCGATTTTCCCTGTTAAGGGCTCCGTTAACAAGGAAAAGGGGTGCCCGAGCGTGCACTTTCCCTGTTAACTGTCCGTTAACAGGGAAATGGGCGGGCCAGTAAAGCACCCGATTTTCCCTGTTAAGGGCTCCACTAACAGGGAAAAGGGCGGGCCAGTAGACCCTGCAATACAGATGCCACCCCCTCAAACTCCCCCTAATTTCAGTTCTTCCGACTAACGGATCGCACGCTACGCGCGCTTTCCGTCATCCGCCGCCCCCTGTTGGCTTGCCGCAGGGGTGCCCGGCGTGCTGAACCCTTTCGGTTTTGGTTTTGGTTCTTTTTCCAAAAGAACTCCCCCTGGGGCTTCCGCCCGTCCCGCCAACCACCCGAAAGGCTCCGAAAATCCGGTTGCAATGCCTTTTCCTGCTCCAGACGGCTCCAAGATGGCCTCCAAGATGCCCAATATGGCTTCCAAGTTCGCCCAAGATGGTCCAAGATGGCCTCCAAGACGGTCCAAGAGAGTCCAAGATGCCTCCAAGTTAGCACAAGAAACATCTAAGACGGACCAAGACGGCCCCAAATGCCTCCAAAAGGCCTCCAAGACGGCCCACCCAAGAGGCCTCCAAGAGGTCCTGCACGAGGGCCCGAGGAGGCCCAAATTCATGGTTTTCCTATGTTTTTTGAAGGATTCTGGCTTTTGCTATTTTCCAGCCGTCCGACGGCCCACGACGGCTCAAGAGGGCCGAAAGATCGCTCCAAGAACGCCCAAGAGGTCTCCAAGATGGCGCCAGAACGGCCCAATAGGCCTCCGAGACGGTCCCAAGAGGGCCGTAAGACAGCCCAAGAGGCCTCCAAGACGCCCAAGATGGCCTCCAAGACGGGCAAGATAACCTCCAAGATGCCTCCAAGACGGACAAGATGACCTCCAAGACGGCCAAGATGGTCGCTAAGACGGCCAAGATGGCCAAAGATGGGCCCGAGAGGCTTCCCAGATGGCCCCAGAAGAATCCAAGAGGTTCTCCAGGAAGGCCCGAGTGAGCCAAAAGCATTGATTTTCCTTAGGTGTTCGAAGGGTTTGGGCTTTTCCTCCGTCTTGGTGCTCCAACCGCCCAAGACGGCCCAAGGAGTCCCCCAAATCGTCCCAGGAGCCTCCAAGATCCAAGAGGCCCCCAAGCCAGCCCCAAGAGGGTCCCAAGACGGCCGAAGAGGCCTCAAAGACGCCCAAGATGGCCTCCACGATGCCTCAAGACGGCAGAAATACCCCCTAAGAGAGTCGAAGGCTGCCCAAGAGGCGCCCAAGATGCCTCCAAGGCAGCCCAGGACGCCTCCAAGAGCTCCACCAGGAAGGCCCGAAGAGGCCCAAATCATTTTCAGCTCTCCGACGGCCCAAGATGGCCCAAGAGGCCCCCAACATCGCCCCAAGAGCGCCCAAGCGGCCTCCAAGACCCAAGACAGGCCAAAAGGTCTCCAAGAGGGCCCCAACAAGACCCCAAGACGGCCCAAGAGGCCCCCAAGACGCCCAAGATGGCCTCCAAGACGCCCAAGATGGCCTCCAAGATGCCTCTAAGACGGCCAAGAGGGCGTCCAAGACGGCGAAGATGGCCCCACGATTCACCTAAGACGGCCCCAGATGGCATGAAGATGGCCTTGGACTGCCCAAAAGGCCGGACAGAGGCCTCCAAGACGGCCCAAGAACCCTCCAAGACGTCCTCCGGGAGTCCCGAAAGCTCGGTAACCACCTGGTCCGATCGCTCGCCCGACTCCGTGTTTTCCGAAGGCTTTCGAAACCCACTCGGGGAACTCGTGACCCGATAGCTTGGCCAAGCTCAAACCCAACTTTCGGCCACGCAGGCGCTTCCAAAAAGGCAAGGGGCGGCGGTGATTCGCCGTAGGCACCTTCGATCCGCCGCCACCTGTGGTCTTGTCACAAGGGCGCCTGGCTTGCTACATCCTACTGGTTTGGTTTTAGTTCTTTTTCCAAAAGAGCTCCCCCTGGGGCTTCGGCCAGTCCCGCCAGCCATTCAGAAAAGGACCCTAAACAACCTCAACGTCCGGAACAAATCCCCGAAGACGGCCCAAGATGGCCTCCAAGAGGGCCAAGATGGCGCAAGATGGCTTCCAAGTTCGCCCAAGATGGTCAAATATGGCCTCCAAGACGGCCCAAGAGGGTCCAAGATGGCTCCCAGACCGAACAAAGAAGCATCCAGGACGGCCCAAGATGGCCTCAAAATGGCCCAAGACAGCCGCATAGGCCCCCTAAGAGGCCTCCAAGACAGCCCAAGAGGCCTCCAAGAGGGCCTCCAGGGGGCCCGAAGAGGCCCAACTCATTAATTATCGTAAAGGTTTTCAACAGGATGTGTGCATTTGCTTCTGTTCGGCCTTCCGACGGCCCGAGACGCCCCAAGAGCCCCCAAAGATCGCTCCAAGCTCGCCCACGAGGCCTCCAAGATGGCCCCAGAACGGCCCAAGAGGCCCCCAAAACTGCCCCAAGAGGGCCCCAAGAGGCCTCCAAAACGCCAAAGATTGCCTCCAAGACGGCCCTGGAGCACTCCAAAAGGCCCCAAGCAGGCCCAGAGAGGCCCCCACGACGGCTTCCGAGGGCGTCAGACGGGCCCGGAGGCCACCAAGACTGCCCCAAGAGGGCCCCACGAGGCCTCCAAAACGCCAAGTATTGCCTCCCAAACGGCCCTGGAGCACCCCAAGAGGCCCCAAGCAGGCCCAGAGAGGCCCCCAAGACGGCTCCCAAGGGCGTCAGACGGGCCAGGAGGCAACCAAGACGGCCAAAGATGGCCTCAAGATGGCCCAAGACAGCCGCATAGGCCCCCAAGAGGTTTCCAAGACGGCCCAAGAGGCGCCTCCAAGAGGCTCCAGGAAGGCCCGAAGAGGCCAAAATCATTTAATCTCCGTAAGTGTTTAAAGGATTTATGCATTTGCTTCTGTTCGGCCTTCCGACGGCCCGAGACGCCCCAAGAGCCCCCCAAGATCCCCCCAGAGGCCTCCAAAATGGCCCCAGAACGGCCCAAGAGGCCCCCAAGACTGCCCCAAGAGGGCCAAAACGGCCCATGAGGTGGCCTCCAATACGGCACCCCAAGAGGGCCCCAAGCCGGCCCAGAGAGGCCCCCAAGACGGCGTCCGACAGTGTCAGACGGGCCAGAAATGCCCAAAGGCGGCCAAAGAGGCTCTCGAGAAGCCTACGAATGGCCGCTCAAGGAAGCCCCAGGAAGCTCCCAGGAGGCCTCAAGAGTGCCCCCAGAGGCTCCCGGGATGCCCCGTCCTGCTCCCTCCTCCTCCTCCTCCTGCTGATCTTCCCCGCCACCCTCCCCACGTGTTTCCCGAAGGGTTTCTACAATGCTGGGGGATCGCATGGCCCGATAGCTTGGCAGAGCTCTTGCCACAATGCTCGGCCACATGGGCGACTCCAACAGGCAGGGGGATGCTGTGATTGGCCGTAGGCGTCTTCGATGCATGTACGCATACGCACATAAACATTGTTCACTGGGCACACACAAATATTTATGTTGATATGTACATGTGTATATACATATGTATGTACATCTGAATATATGTATAGTTCGTTCGCTCGCTCGAAAGCTAGATCGCTCTACCAACACATTTATACCGTCTGGTTGTATCAATGCCGCTCGACAGTCACACATACACATGCACACACAAACACACATACATACGCGCATGCATACATTCCTATACATACATGCATACATGCATGCATCCACTCATCCATACACACAAGCATGCATACAACCAAACACGCACTCGTACACACGTAATTACATACATAAATATATGCATACACACATATGCGTACTTACACACATGTATGCACATACATACATACATACACACATACATACATACAGACATGCAGACATACATACATGTATACGTACAGCCATGTCTGCATGCATACATACGTACACCTACATACGTGCACACATTCATACATCCATAAAGAACATACATACGTCCATACATACACAAGCACACATGCACATGCACATACATACATACATACATACATACATACATACAGACATACAGACATACATACACACATACACGCATACGCGCACAGACATAAATACATACATACATACATACATACATACATACAGACATACGTACATACATACACGTACATACATACACATACAGACATATACATATACAAACACACATCGTGAGGCAACGTAATCGGCAGATAGACGTAACGCTAGACGGATAGCTGTACTGATATCATTGACTAACCCTCTATATACATATATAGCTATGGCGCGATGCAGAGAAACATATCACGATATCGATCGGTGTATGTGCATGCCGAGAGATACACATGTCGATAGCGATGTTCAGTTGTGTGCATGTACATATATATATATATGTATCTGCATACACATCTACATACTGACAATTCGCCTTATGGCCGGTCGAGGGTTCACAGGCCTCCCACCCCCAAAAGGGATGGGTCCCAGGGATCCACAGCCCCCCCCTCCCAGATGGGATGCGGGGTATGACGACGACGACGCCGACGCCGACGGAAGACGACGACGACGAACCTTCCCACACCCACAAGCGGAGGAGGGGAAGCACCGGCACCCCCCACCACGCCACGCATTCAGGACCACAACCACACGGGGTGGGGGCGATCCCATTCACAAGGCCTTCGCGAGGCTCACGGGGGTGCCCATCCAGCGGGAGGCAGCGGGAGGGTGGGATCAATCCAATATGCATTGGGGAGATGGCCGCCAAGCCTAGGTTATATGTTTGTATATACGTATACGTATAGCGAGCCCGACCCGACGCCGATCGCAAACTGGAAGGTGCAACGATCCCCAAAACCTCATTCTCCCTCGAGACGTTGTCTTATTGGTATCCAGATTTCCGCCTCCGCTCCCTCCGATCAGCTGTCCAATCCATCCACTGCATGTACAATCCTCGTATGTACGGGTATAGCTCTCTCTCCCTCTCTCCCTCCCTCCGTTTCTCTGTCTCTCTCTCTCTATATCTCTCCCTCTCCACCTCCCTTCCCTCCCACGCTGCTGTCTCCAGTCTTCCAGCCCTCTCGACCCACTGACCGCTGTATTAGTCTCTGCACTCCCCACACCCTCTATTATGACCGCTGCTTCTGCTCCCACTACTCGGAGGTCTGTCGACGCTCATTACTCTCTATGCTGTCTGTGCTATCGCTCCGCTCCCTCTCTCTCTCTCTTTCTCTCTCTTTCTCTCTCTCTCTCTATATATATATATGTATAGATCCCACTTTCTCTCTCTCTCTCTCTTTCTCACTCTCCCTCTATATGATCGAATAAATCTCTCTTTCTATGTCGGTCTGTCTGTCTGTCTGTCTGTCTGTCTGTCTGTCTGTCTGTCTGTCTCTCTGTCTGTCTGTCTGTCCTCTGTCTGTTTCTCGCCTTCTCTTTTCTCCCAGCATATGTATGCATGTATGTGCACGGCGCCAAAACCTCGCGTCGCGCTGCGCACCATCCTCACTGTCATTGGTTGTTTTTTGGGTCAGATGCCTACGCTACCCGTGTTTTGCCTTCGCTACGCCATCTGCGCTCTTATGCGCTCTTCACGCTCCCTGCACTCTCACCACCTTGTGGATGACCGACTCTACGTGCATCTTTCCGTACTCTCTGGGCGCTCTCCGCCCTTTTCAAATCTCACGCTCCATACCCCTCAATCTCCACACGTTTTGCGCCCTCTACGCTCCATGCGCTCTCAACGTCTCACTCACTTCCGGAGCCCGAATTCTACGGCTCGAATCCGGACCACAAGAACCTGGCCGCCCATCGAGATCTGAGGCCCTCTTCACCAAACTTGTGCAACCTCCGCTGGGGCCCGCTCAATGCAAGCACGCACCGACCGTGGAAAAACTGAAAAATTGGGACGACCGCGACTTTAGCAGTCCAGGCGGCCGCAACTATCCCCCTGCTGCTCCCTCTCCCGCGTCTTCCCGAGCCCCGCGCGTCTTGGTGAGGCTTCGCCGCCAGCACGCCGACGGCCCTGGCCGGCCGACAGCGCGGGGCGGGAGTGGCAGCGGCGAGTGCTCGAAGAATCGAGGCATGGCAGGCCCGCGTCGTGCCGACTTGCGCCGCGCTTTCTGACACCGCGTGGATGGTTTAACCTTTTCCTTCCTCCCCCCACAATGAGCGCGGCCGAAGAACACGAGCACACACGCAAGGCCTGCCCAGAGGCAAAACCTCACGGGCAAGAGAAGCTCTCGACCGAACATCTGATCCGCTTCCCTGCGCGGGGGGCATGTGTCCAATGACGGAAACCCTGAACCCAAACAAAAACGTTGTCATTTCTCGGGGGCGCATCCGTTACTTCCGCCGCCTTCCGCCGAGCTTCCGCCGGCTTCCGCTGGCGGAGGCAGCCTCGCTTTACTTCCGCCGACCTTCCGCCGCCCTTCCGCCGAGGAAGAGATGACAATTCCTTCGATCCTCGAAGGCAAGGCCCTTTCTGGAACGCCTCACGTCCTCGTGTTGTGGAAAACAACAATGGAGAGGAAGCACGATGCCACATACTTCCCAGATGTCGAACACATGTTTTGACCATGTCTTGAACACGCTCAACACATAGTTTCAATGTGGTTTGAGCATTTTCCTACATTTTTATACACGCTTTTAATGTTGAATGATAGGGTTGTTAGGGTGTCCATTGTCATGGCATCCACAACCCTCATGCGTCGTTTAACCTTTGACGATCCGTCGAGATCGGCCAACGGCCCGAGCCGCGAAGGACCCCATGGGATGCCGCTGCGCCGTGCTCGAGGGCTGGGCGCAAGAGAACGGCGCTCGCCGTCCCCCCTTGGGCGGGGGGAGGAGGGTGGAGGAGGAGGGGGAGGAGGAGGAGGAGGATGAGGAGGAGGAGGAGGAGGAGGAGGAGGACTAGGAGTAGGAGTAGGAGGAGGAGTAGGAGTAGGAGGAGGAGGAGGAGGATGAGGAGGAGGAGGAGGAGGAGGAGGAGAGGGAGGAGGAGGAGGAGGAGGAGGAGGAGAGGAGGAGGAGGAGGAGGAGGAGGAGGAGGAGGAGGAGGAGGAGGAGGAGGAGGAGGAGGAGGAGGAGGAGGAGGAGAGGAGGAGGAGGAGGAGGAGGAGGAGGAGGAGAGGAGGAGAGGAGGAGGGAGGAGGAGGAGGAGGAGAGGAGGGAGGAGGAGGAGGAGGAGGAGGAGGAGGAGGAGGAGGAGGAGGAGGAGGAGGAGGAGGAGGAGCGCTGTTCATGGAGGGAAGGGTCAATTCTACATAAAGATATATATATATATAGAGAGAGGGAGTGACTGGGATAGGGGTCTCCATCAGATCAGAGCTGCTTGTTCCCCGCACGAGGGGCGCCACCTCGTGCGGGGCCCACCGCCAGGAGACCCCCCTCAAACCACAGAAGGTAACACCGAACTCCCCATCGGCTGCGGCAAGACGGGCGCGCCTGGCCTCTGCCTCGGCTCTGGCCCGCACGACCCTGGACGACGGGGCCTCGGCCTGCGCTCGGCCCTCGCAGCCAAAAGCTGTCCAGCAGGCCTGGAGATCGAAGCGTGCGGCGGCCATGCGCCGCGAAGAAGGTGGCAGGCGGCTCGGGCTGCTCTCGCGACCGTCGACACCGATCCCAAACAAATACCGACCAGCGCCTTCGGGTGGCCTCTGAAGGGGGTCGTGGGCTCGTCCAAGACCACCGCCGAGTCCTGAAGGTGGATCCGTTCACGCAAGCGCTTCCGAGCCGTGTGGAGCGGGCCCCCTTGTGAGCCCTCTGGAACCTCCACAGGTCTTGCAGAGGCCCTTCTGCTTCGTGTCAACCGCAAAATAGTAGCAGGTCGAGCAAAACAAGAGAGGGCCCTCGCCTGGAACCCCTGGTTCCAACATCGATTGGCCCGGCAGGGCCCCAGGGCTGAGCTCTCCGAGCCCATAACCCTCATCTTCCAACACCTCAGTGTCACCAACGTCGTCTGCCTCCTGGTCACCCTCGGCCTCCACACTCCCGCCCGAAGGGGCAGCAGCAACGGCACCAGGAGGGTCAGCAGAAGGAGGGGTCGGGGGGCGGACGGTGGAGGTGGGGCCTCCGCGTAAAGACTGTAGGAAGCTGTCGGCAATCGTGCCGAAGTCGATTCATATGACGGCATCTAGCCCCAGATGGTCCTGCATGCCTGAGTCCACCGTCCTGGTGGCTAGCATGGCGCTGAACTTGGCCGCGTGGGATGCGACTTCCAGACAACCTTCTAGAAACTGCACATCTCCTTCCGACGCGGCTCCGACACTGGCCCCTAGCTTCGCATACTGATCCGCCATCTGGTTGCCTTCGACATCAAACTGCGACAACACCCCCGCTCCCCAACCTGACGCATACCGCAATGGCTTTTCACATGCGAGAAACGCCTTTGTTCAAAGTCATCTCTCGCGTGCACACGGCGCCACATGTGGGCGATGAGGTCGAGAATTCAGTGGGGGCCACGCCGCAGATCGCCCCCAGAAAAAAAGACGGTCCGCCGGGAAAAAAACATAAGACCAGCCTGTGGAGCGCAGCGTTGGGAATCGAGAGTTGAGCCCCAGGGAGGGAGAAGGAGGAACTATGGAGCTACTGGTGTGGCGGCAGTGTCTGTTACTCTGGAAGCAGCTATATACCCTGCTGCTGGTTCGTGCCTCGGTCACGCTTGGCACGTTCTGCTCTATTGAGAACCTTGGGCCAAATACCGCGGCTGATAATGTTGAGATAATCAACCGGGTAACCTGGAACAGCTCTTGCACATTCGACGCCTAATCTGCACAACTGCTGCGAAGCCTAACGCCTGCAAAACGAAAAAAAAACAAAAAAAACGAGCTCCAATCCCGCATGCTACATGACAGTGCGAGTGTCGCGCAAGACCCCCCTGGAGATGTGCGCCCTTTCCCTCGGGCTGACACCTTCCACGCCAATTAAACTGAAGCAGGGGGTGTTAAGCCAATAAGCGTTGGCCACGACAGAAGCGGAGCCCCGACACCTGGTACAGCTCTTATAGAGTTCGCGAGGTAATACTGAGCAGCAAGAGTGGCACAACCGCTGGCCGCGAACGCTATCAACGTTACATCTGCGACGACGTAAACCTCGATCCCTGGAGCACAGCCCCTTCAGCTCGGATGGTCTCGAGGGTACTCTGAAGGATGCGCATACGGACTGCGAAAGCTGTAAATGCGTTCTGCTGAATATGTTCACGCGCACTCCCGGGGAGACGGGACGCTCGTGCCCCTCCGGCGGGAGGTCATCAACTATAGTGTTACCGTGCACTATATGGTTCTATGCGCTTTGCGTTCGACAGTGTTTTCGGCTGTTACATGAAAGGAAGCGACGTGGACCAAACAAGAAGAATAACCGCGCCTCTGGACCTCCTCTTTGCCTATGCGCCACCAAAAGTCAGCGTCTGGGCCCGCTGGCCGATGCCAGCGCCTATCGAACCAGCCTGAATACACACACAAACACACACAACACACACAAACATGTTCTTATCGGTGGTGCGTACGACCAAAACCGTTAGATCGACGGAAGCACGCGAGCAAACAAACGAGCCCCTCGGGCGACCGTTTGCGGAGGGCCCGGCCGGGGCCCCCACGCCCCGACAGAAATCAGCAGGGGCCCAGCGAGGAACTTGAGGCCAGCCCTTGCCCTATCCTGCTGGGCAGCGGGCGGTGGATGGCCTCGCCCCCGCTAGCGTCTCCGATGACAAACACAGGCGCGCGAGACGGCCCTTGGCCTAGATGGGGCCCATAATTGCCAGAGGAGGCCCGCTGCTCGCTGGCTGGGGCTTCAGGGGCTTCGGCCCACTTGCTAGGCAAGGGACCCCTGAGCAAAACAAGAAAGGGCTCACTCTCTGGCTGCGCGTGTGCCTTCCTCACAAATTGGTCACTCATCCTGCGCGCTGGATGTTGCTCGCCAGCGCCTGCGCGCCCCCAAACTCGATGGCAGCTGGTCTCGATTTCCGCGCAGCCTGCAGGACGTGCGGGGCATGTTGCCGTCAAAACCTGCTTGCATCTCGTCAGTCGTCGAGCTCGAGGCTATGATGCCCCAGCCGCGGTGGTGCGCAGCAAGCCCGACAGACGGGCGCCGCCTGGGGCCTGGGCACACTCGCCGAGCAACCTCCGACACGGGCGGTCACTAGCTCTGCGTTCCATGCCCGCACCGTCGAAGTGCGCGGAAGCCTCGTGCCAGGCCGTGGACTGAGCCGTGCTTCCGAACTCCTGTGCGAAACCCTCGGGAGCATCGAGCGCCGCGTAGCCCGTGACGCTGTCCAGCTGAAATTGCCGCGCTCCCTGTCCATCAGGCGCGGCCCAACCAGCAGGATCCCTCAGGTTGCCTACCTGCTTGGAGGAGGTAGGCGATGGTGGCCGCCTGAGGTCCTCGAATATGCATGACTCTGCATGACTCGCAAGCTCCCGCGCCATCGGCTTCCACGTGGACTGCATGGTTGCGCGCGCCGACGGCTGAAACATCCATGTTGCAATCCAGAACCGTAAAGCGACACAAAACAATGTGTGCAGCGGATCTCGGCCAGCAGCCTGCAGGTCGAGCAGTGTCGCGATGCAACGTCCAATGAGACGTGGAGCGACTGCATTTGCCATCTTGCGCCGCGCCGAGGTCACGCGGCCGCCAGATGCCCCGTGCAATGGGTGCGCGTGCAAACCGGCAGCCTTTGCACCTTGTGACCGCAGACGACCAGGCACCTTGCGTCTGCGAAGCGTGCGCGCGCACCTGATAATCTTCTCTGACATAGCCTGGCGTTTGACAAGGCGCCCGATTCGCGCGGCGCGTCCGCGGCGTCCACCTCGAGAAAGATCGCCTCCCCAATAAACTGCCTGCGCGGCCGCGCGAAGCATGCGCCCTCCGCTCGTGGGCTGTCTCACGACGTGGCGCGATTCACCCGCGCGCGCGCAGGGGGCCGCGCCATTGGGGGGGGATCCCGAGGCCAGCCCTCTCCATGTATTCACATGCGTCAAGAGGGCATGCTACCATCTGCATCCGAACTGGCGGGCGTGAGGCGCGACG